GTGGTCTTCACCCACAGTATGTGCATTGCACCACTTAGGTGTGAATTTACCATACCTTTCCACCCATTTACTTAATTTCCTTTGGATTTGCTTCCATAGATGTACTTGAGAGTTGATTAATTAGCTCCAATTTATTTATTTATTTATTTTTGAGACAGAGCCTCAAGCTATCCCCCTGGGTAGAGTGCCGTAGCATCACAGCTCACAGCGACCTCTAACTCCTGGGCTCAAGCGAGTTACCTGCCTCGACCTCCCAAGTAGCTGGGACCACAGGCACCCGCCACAACGCCTGGCTATTTTTTTGGTTGCAGCTGTCATTGTTGTTTGGCAGGCCCAGGCTGGATTTGAACCCACCACCTTAGGTGTATGTGGCTAGCGCCTTAGCCACTTGAGCCACAGGCGCCAAGCCAGCTCCAATTTAGTATTGAGTACATGCAGTGTTTATTTTTCCATTCCTTTTTTTTTTTTTTTTTTTTGAGACATAGTCTCACTATGTCACCCTGGGTAGAGCACCATGGCATCACAGCTCAAAGTAACCTCCAACTCTCGGGTTTAAGTGGTTCTCCTGCCTCAGCCTCCTGAGTAGCTGGGACTACAGGCACCTGCCACAATGTCTGGCTATTTTTTAGTTGTAGTTGTCATTGTTGTTTGGCAGGCCTGGGCTGGATTTGAACCTGCCAGCTCCAGTGTATGTAGCTGGTGCCCTAGCTGCTGAGCTATGGGTGCCAAGCCTATTTTTCCATTCTTGCAATATTTCACTTAGGAGAATGGTCTCCAATTTCATTTATGTTGTTACAAAAGATACTAAATCACCATCTTTTTATGGGTGAATAGTATTTCATGGAATACATACACTACAATTTTGATCTCTATCTTTTTGATTTGTTGACACACCTTTACTTGCTGCAGGGCCCCGTGGGAAGACGTATGCTTTCAAGGGGGACTATGTGTGGACTGTGACAGATTCAGGACTGGGCCCCTTATTCCGAGTGTCTGCCCTTTGGGAGGGGCTCCCAGGAAACCTGGATGCTGCTGTCTACTCTCCTCGAACACAATGGATTCACTTCTTTAAGGGTAAGGGGGCTAGTTACAGCGTCTTATCTGGGAAAGGCCTAGCTTTAACAACGCCACAAAAGGGCGGCTCCTGTAGCTCAGTGAGTAGGGTGCCAGCCCCATATACAGAGGGTGGCAGGTTTGAACGCAGCCCCAGCCAAAGTGCAACAAAAAAATAGCCAGGCATTGTGGCTCCCAGCTACTTGGGAGGCTGAGGCAACAGAATCACCTAAGCCTGAGAGTTAGAGGTTGCTGTGAGCTATCATACCATAGCACTCTACTGAGGGCGACAGAATGAGACTCTGTGTGGAAAAAAAAAACCAAAACACCACAAAAGAGAGGGAGAAATTTCTGAAAGGGTGGAATGGGGGGACCAAAGCAAACACCTGGGGACACAGGTGATTTGTTCTTTCCTCATGTACTCTCAGGAGACAAGATGTGGCGCTTCATTAATTTCAAGATGTCTCCTGGCTTCCCCAAGAAGCTGAAGAGGGTAGATCCTAACCTGGATGCAGCTCTCTATTGGCCTCTCAACCAAAAGGTGTTTCTCTTTAAGGTATAAAGTTCAAAACAAGGGCAAATCCTTTCTTAGAAGGGGTGGGCTTACTTGATGCTGGGAAGCAAAGATTTTGTGATGGACTGGGGGTAGACCTCTGGGGGTCCTTATGCTCTCTCTTCATCCTTCCTTTCTTCCTGCCCACCTCATACCCAGGGCTCCGGGTACTGGCAGTGGGACGAGCTAACCCAAACTGACTTCAGCCACTACCCCAAACCAATCAAGGGGTTGTTTACGGGAGTTCCAGACCAGCCCTCAGCTGCTATGAGTTGGCAGGATGGCCGAGTCTACTTCTTCAAGGGCAAAGAATACTGGGCCCTCAACCGGCAGCTTCGAGTAGAGAAAGGCTATCCCAGAAACGTTGCCCGCAACTGGATGCACTGCCATCCCCAGACTGTAGATGTGACCCTGTCAAGTGGGGACAGCACTTCCTTGGCTACAGGCACAACATTGGACACAATTACAACCTCCACTGTAATAGGCTCCCCTACCCTTATGTTCCCTGCTAAAGTCACCCTCCCAGAGGCCTAAGGAATCAAGTATCTGCTCACTAGACCCATGCAGGTGCCACAGAAGGGGCATGACCTTTGGCCTCCAACAGTTCCAAGTAGTACTGCATTCTTTCCCTCCTGGAAAGTGACACCTAACCTGGATTCAGCCCCAACTCCATCTGTTTCTCCCAGTCCTAGATAAAACTTCCAATTATGTCATCTACTCTCTGGAGGACAATGGAGGGGGTTGTCAATCAGGCCCTTAACTGACAGGAGGCAACATCTGAGGTGGCTGGACGCCTGTGTCCTGTTCTTCCTAAAGAGTAAGAAAACAGCATGGCCAGTAAAATGAGCAAGGGCTTTGTAATCCTTGAGAATCACATGTACTTGCATATGACTTTGGGCAAGCTAATTAACCCTGGATTCCTCATTTGCAAAAAAGGTTAATACTAGTCCTGTAGGGTTGTTGCATTAAATGAAATACTACATGTGAAGTACCTGGCCCAGTGTCTGGCACATTTGTGTTTAATAAATGCTCACTCCATTTCCATAAGAGAAGACTGAACAGCTCTTCCTCTAGCTGTGTGGATATGTAACTCCTATGGTAATCTATCTGGTAAGGCTAACTCTGTCAAATCTTTAGAGGACAGAAGATTTGTCAAGATGGTTAGCTTTTTGTTTTGGTGTGCAGAGAAAGAAAAGATCAGTAACAGTAGAGGCTGGACTCCCTGGTTCAGGATTCAGTGCCATTTTATTCATTTGCTCCCATGCTCTTCCTCCTTCCCATCATAGCTTTGCTGCCTAGGAGAGGGATATGTCTTTATGCTGTCTGGAGAACCAGGGAACAGATCTTGGGCTGGAGAGTCAGAGGGAGGAAGGGTTAGAATGAATAAGTAGATGGAATAAAGTTCTGGTTAAGGAGGAAATTAGTATCACCCACAGTGAGAGGCAGAGAAGGCACTTGTCTCCCATGCAGCCCTGAAGACCAGGCTTTTGGGCAAAAGGCAAGACTCCAGTATGTGGGCTAATGCTCTCTACTTGGCACAAGAATTCAGTGTTTGGGGCAGCCAGGTGCTAAGGCAGGGACTGTGCTATCCTCTTCCCCAGGTTGAGAAGGAGAAGGGGAAGCACCATGGAGGGCAGTACTCCTAATGGAGGTAGGAGAACAGGGCTCAAATCTACGGCATCCAGAGGAAAGGCCAGCCAGAAACCCAACTGCGTCTTAATAAGGAGGGCGTTGGAGTTTTCTGGAGCTCCTGTGTGCTCCTCCTTCTCCCCATCAAAAAGCTATCAAATGCTTTGGGAGTTCCCTGATTTTCTACAGATCCTACAAAAAAACTCCCCTTACTTTACCACTGTGAAGCATACTGAGGTGGGTACTTAAGAGGCTATTTGAGGTGGGGTATGGTGCCTCATGCCTGTAATCCTAGCACTCTGGGAGGCTGGGGTGGGAGGATTGATTGAGGTCAGGAGTTTGAGAACAGCCTGAACAAAAGCAAGATCCCGTCTCTAGAAAAAATAGAAAAATTAGCCAGGCATGGCAGTGCACCTATAGACCCAGCTACTTTAGAGGCTGAGGCACGAGAATCACTTGAGCCCAGGAGTTAGAGGTTGCTGTGAGCTAAGATGATGGATTGCACTCTAGCTGGGGCAGAGTGAGATTGTCTCAAAAAAAAAGAAGAAGGAAAGAAACGCTATTTTGGTAAGTGCTCTTCTTGATTTGGAGAGAATTAGGGAGTTATTTTTGGGAGGGGGACCAGCACAGCTCTATTATTGGACTGAGGTAGGTACTCATACTTCCTTTCCTCCCCTTTCCCCACAAGACTTCTATCTGTCCAGAAACATATCTCTATGAGGCTGGTCTGGGTTGCAGCACAGATCCTATCCCCAAGTCCAGGAGGTGGGGAATTTTCAGTGGGGTTTTTGTGGGCTTAAGTCCACCTAGTGTTCTTAGGCCCTCACTAGTGGTGGGGGCAAAAGTGGAGGTTTAGGCTCAGGTCTGGGTAGAACCAGATGGTGTGGTGAGAGGTACAGTGGAACTACAATCAGAATCCAGGTCCAGGATGGTGTGAGGGGCTGTGGCCTGGGGGCTTGGTCCCAACTGGTGCTCTCGAAGACTTTGGAGATAACTCTGGAGGGACACAGGGCACAGAGAACAGAAGGAGGGGCCTGGGTTAGAGCCCCCCTCCCACCCTGTCCATCCCCATATGCCCTCTGCCTTGCCTCCCAGGGTGTCCCATCTTTCCTACTCACTGGAGCCAGACTGTCAGCAGGGCTCCGGGCATTGTGGGGGGGCTGGCACCGATAGCTGCTTTCACAAAGCCCCATCCCAGAAGGGGTCCGGTGCCACTTGGCCTCTTGTTGACGGATCCGAAGCAGTTGGAGATGCCTCCGTTGGTGGCTCAAGACCACTGATTGACAGAGGGGGCAATACAGACTCAAGGAGGCCTTTTTAGACCCCAAATCCCACCCTTAAACACACTCATAGTCTACAGCAGCGGTTCTCAACTTGTGGGTTGCGACCCACAGGAACTGTATTAAAGGGTCGTGGCATTAGGAAAGTTAAGAACCTCTGGTCTAGAGCAACCCATAGTTGCTCAAAATTCATCTTTTTGTCATAGTTTTCTCAAGACTTATTTCCCTCCCATTTACTCTATAAGAAACTTTTCTTTGGAATTCTCCTACTCTTTCCATCTAGACTTTCCTGTCATCCTCCTTTCCTCTCATAATAGTCTCTAATAACTCTTTCTTGCTCGTCTGACACATTTCCTTATCATTTTGTACCCAGATCTTCTTTAGCTCCTTCAACTCTAAAACTTTTTTTCAGTACCCTGCCCATTCACCTTGGACATCCTCCCCTGCCCTTCTCCCGCAAGTATTTTTCTCCCCTTCCCCTCCCCAAGTCTAGGAACTGGGGACATGAATAGGTACAGTTTGGCTGCTTCTGTACCACAGCACTAACTCACCATTGTCGTGGCTTCCATGTTCCTCAGCCATGAGCTTCCACTGGGCCAGAGCCCCAAGGGCCCCCAAGGTTGGCCAGGTCCCCAGTAAGACCCAGCTATACCAGCAGAGAGGAGGCAAGGCTGGAAGTGCCTGAAGGCGTTGGCCCAACCGACTGCCCAGTGCTAGTCCCTCCAGGAAGTAGTCAGCACAGGCCACCAGCACTGCAGCACCCAGCAAGGCTGTGCCCAGAGTTGTGAATGGACGTGGCCACCGAAGTGTAAGCAAGGCTCCCAGCAGTGCCAGCCCCACCAGCCCCCCTCCTGGCACCCAGGCTGAAGGTGGTTGGTAGATGGGCTCAGTACCCAGGAGGACACCGGCACCCAGGGTCAGGCCTAACAGGAGACCAGTCAGGAAGAGCCCAACACTTCGAACCAGCATGGTGACCAGGCCGCAGAGGACTCCTATGCCTAGCGCGATGCCTGCGCTCACCTCCAGGCTCAGCTGTGTCTCCAGCACCCGCTCCTTGTGGCACAGCAGGAAGATCACCAGAGCTCCTGACAGCAGGCCCGAGAGAAACATTACTGCCTTGAAGCAGCGGTAGCCTGGGAAGGGAGGTGGGAGGCACTGAGAGGCAGAAAGGATGTTCAAATTCTGATGAATTTGAATGGAGAAGAATGGCTAACTAGGGGAGCAGAAGACAGGAGCAACACATCATGGGTCCCCAAGGCTAGGGGCAAAAAGGGATAACCGTAGGGAGGGCAAGGAGGCTTTCCAGGAACTGTGAGAGGATGAAAGAGAAAATCAGGAGGCAAGATGGATGAATTGAGGAGAATAAGTATAGAAAGAGTGTCTAGGACTTCCAGGGATGGTAGATAGGAAGAAATCAGCACAAACTGATTAAGGTTTTTGGGGGAAGGGTGAAGTCTTAAGCATGGAGAATAATTTGGGAATGGTGTTTTGAGGCAAGAAGAGGGAAAATAACAGATGCCAGAGGTCAGACCCAGAGGGCACAGGCATGGGGCATGGACAAGAAGCTCGCAAGAGCAACATGGGCCACACTGAAGATAGGTATCTCCTGGTAACAAGGCAAGGTGACCAGAAACAAGGAAGAAAGCTGGCATCATCCTTAAAGGTGACAGACTTGGGAAGCTACCCCCCGGGGACCTGGGCCCTGCCCTCACCAAAGCAGCAGTAGATGATTCCAAAACAGCAGCAAAGGGCACACACCAGCGCAGGTGCCAATTCAGGATTGTCCTGGGGTTCCAAAACACAACTTGGTTCTGGAGGCTCTGGGAGTTGTTGATTAAAGGGCCTGGGGTCAGATGTCACAGCCAGGGGCAACAAGGCTTCCTCCATGGCCAAAAAGAAAGTGGTCACAGAGTGGGAGGTCATTTCCTGCTCCTTTCATCCATCCATGAATATCTTGAGGGGGTTGGGAAGCCTGCAAGGGGGCAGAGGGTAGAAACTCAGGTGCTCATAAATCCTCAGGACTCTGTACCTCTATTACTTTCTTTCTTTGAGACAGTCTCACTATGTTGCCCTGGGTAGAGTGCCATGGCATCACAGCTCACAGCAATCTCAAACTCTTGGGCTTAAGTGATTCTCTTGCCTGAGCCTCCCAATTAGCTGGGACTACAGGTGCCCACCACAATGCCTGGCTACTTTTTGATTGCAGTTTTCATTATTATTTTAGCAGGCCTGGGCCTGGTTTGAAACCACCAGCTTCAGTGTACATGGCCAGTGCCCTATTCACTGAGCTACTGGCACCGAGCATGTATCTCTATTTCTTTTGAAGAAGGGTCCATTTCAGGGGAGAGCATGACCCTGTTGGGGTAACTAAAGAAATCTACAGGATTGGGCTGGGGGCAGTGATGTCTCTTTACTGCCCTCTGAAATAGGAACACTAAGTAAAACATAAATAAATGAAAATCTCATAAGGTAATGGGCATTTATCTGCTCCCCCCTAGCTTTCTAGGGTAAGGATGGGAGGGGCAGGAAGCCCTGGTTGTGTAGAGGGAGGGGCACAGAGACACTAAATGGGACTGGGAGCCAAAGCCCCAGCAGTCTGTTCCTGTGGAAAAGCAAGCTTGTCCCATCTGCAGCTCGAACTCAACACTACCCCCACTGGACTGGGAAGGGCAGGGTTAATAGAGAGGGGAGAGAGAAGAGGAAGAGAAGAGATGAGTCATGGTGGGGTCTCCCACAGCTGCTGCAACCCTAGGGAAAAAAGAGGGGGAAAAAAAAGACACCAAGAGTTTGGAACAAAGAATAAAGTAGACAGTCATCCATAGTTTGTCAGGATTTTGAAGCCTCAACTTCATGCCTAGATGGAGTTGTTAGGGTAAGGGGAAAATCATCCACAGTTCAAATCCTACAGCCCCTCATGGAATAAGCAGGCGGTTTGCCAATAGCCTTCTCATATCATGGTAGTAACTTGCTCCTGCCCTCTTTTCCTACACCACCCTTCCGCCTGGGGTGTCAGGACTGCCAATGGCATTTGAATTCAGATCCTGAAAGGAGAACACCAAGGAGAGGCTGGCATTTGGGGCACAGTGGGAGTGAGGTGGCATGCATACAGGCACTTCACTTTAGCTGTCTTTTTGGACATCAAAGTCCTAAGTGGCTTGGGGGATTCCTGGGGCTTCTCTTCCCAATCGGCTTGGAAGTCTGGGGACCCTAAACAAGGGGAGATTGGAGAGGAAGTGTTAACTACTCACCACCCTGTCAGGGCTGAGAAGAAGAGGGGTTGGAAATGCTTTCCTAGACTCCGAGCTGCATCCCCACCCGGAGGTCCTAGGCGCCGGGGTGGCTGTCGGTCGAGGACACCCCAAGGGCCACTCTGTTCGTTGCCCCCTAAACTCTTGCAAGTCGTAGCCCAAGCCTCGTGAACTAAATGCAATTAGCTTGGGGGGTAGAGGAAGGGGACAGGGTGTGTGTGTGTGTGTGTGTGTGTGTATGTGTGTGATCGTGTGTGCGCAGAGGGGTGGGGGTGACATCATGGGGTGGGTTCCTTCAACCCTTTTCCCTGTGTGTGTGTGTGTGGGGGAATCCAAGTTGTCTACTACTCTAGTCTAGGACCACAGACCCAGAACCATAGCAGGGTAGAGTCTTGTGAGCCACCTCACGATTTTCTGTGAAGGTCTCTGTATACTTAGGAGATGATTTGACAGCTCAAAGCTCTGAAAACCCCAACTAAGGTTCCAGCGCCCCCCTGGCTCCAAGCTTGGTTTCTTCCACTTCCCAGAGAATTGGAGTATTGTCTTCGGGAGAACCGGGTGGTCGGGATCGGGGTCCGGGAAAGGGATTTTTACTTGGCCTGGGAACGCCGACAGGGGGTTCATGGGTGGAATAACTTGCGGAGCAAGACGGGGTCTGACCAAGGCACAGACAGGAGCGCTGTAAGGCTAGCGACGTGCGCAGAGAAGGGGATGGACAGACAGGGGCCCTTGCTGGGTCTGCGTGGGGCGGGGGCGCGTATCAACGTGGACTGAATGGCTTGGGATGCAGATGAGATGCAAAGCAGCATACTGAAGAGTTCAGCCTTTGGCACTGGGCTATACTTCTGAGCCCAGTGGAGCTAAGCTCCCAGTCCCAGGCACCGCTCTGTGACAGGGCCTGGGAGCTGTGTCCAAAAGGGCCGATCTGGGCCATAGGACTTTCAGTCTTAAGGGCAGCTCGCCAGCTGGGTCAGGCGCTGGGGAGGCCGAGGGTTGCCGCGAAAGGAGGGGTATTGTTGCCGGGCTAGGGCGGGGGCTAGCTCGGGCACCTCTCATCCACTCCACTTCTGCTGGATACAAATGGGCCTCTGTCCTCGCTGCAGCCGGCAAGGAGCACCCTGGTTTTGTCTGCAAGGAAAACAGACTATGTGTGGCTTGGTGGCTGTCTTTCACTTTATAGTTTCGGCAAAGCCCAGGAATACAGCCAGAACAATTCTGAGAGTCTGCCCCTAGTCCGCTGGCTTTGGTGCAGAGCACACTTGCTTCGCTTCCAGTGGTGCAACCTGCGGGGATCCCATTCCAGCACGCGGAGGGCGACAGGAGAGGGCCCTTTAAGGGGCGGGGCCAGCGCCTTCCTAAGACCACCTCCTTTGATTTGACTCAGCGCTTGCTAGACCTGCTCGCGCTTCGGCCAACCGCCTTTTCTTTTCCTTCCCGTCGCTTCCCTGTTGACCCCGGAAGTGGAAGTAGGCGCAGGTCGGCGGCCGCGGGAGGAGGAAGGCGGGAGCAGAGAGTGAGCGGGAGGCGGAGCCGGGGGAGCTGCTCTGTAGCTCCCCCTGGCCCCAGGCCCAGCTGCTCCAGGGGGAGGAGTTACCGCCGCTCTTCGGTATGTTACCGTGGTCCCTTTTACCCAGCCGCTGGGGCAATCCTAAAACTCCGCTAGGTTTTCCTTAAGGGCCGCACAGTCCCCACCCTTTCTGGCAGCCCGCGGGGTCCCCCCTTTGCAGCGGTCTTTCTCTTTTTCTAAGAGTGATCCCCCCCCCCAACCACACCCTTTGCGGTAGCTCCCTCATTCTCTGACTGTAGATTATAGCTTTCTGGGGAAAGAGGAAAAACTAAGTGATTGGAGGGGGAGGAGTCTAGTGGCAAGCAGGGTGGTTAGTCTGTTCTGGCTTATTGCTAGGGGTAGCGAATGCCCACAAAGAACTTTGGAAAACAAGGGAGATGGGTGCATTAAGTGTGTCTTCAATTTAAGATTATTTAGCTCTTTTCTTTGTCCGACTCTTGACCATTCCTTCCTTGATATTTTTGTTGCAGGCATCAGAACTTACCATGATGGCTGTGACCTAAGAGCCTCAAGAAGCCCCGGGGTCATGGCCCAGAAGCACCCCGGAGAAGGAAGGTTGTGTGGAGCCCACCACAGTGGTGGTGCCTCCCTCAGGACTTTAGGACCCTCTGTGGACCCTGAAATACTTTCATTCTCAGGACTCAGGGACTCAGCAGAGACTGCTCCTAATGGTACCCGCTGCCTCACAGAGCCCTCTGGTCCTAAGTACACACAGCCCCCACATCCAGCCCACTGGTCGGATCCAAGCCATGGCCCCCCAAGAGGTCCAGGACCACCCAGGGATGGAGAGGACCCTGATCAGAGTGAGGCATCGTCAGCAGAAGAGTCAGAAGTGGACCAGGAACTCTCAAGAGAGAATGAGGCCAGTTACCAGGAGGATGGGAACCCTTCTTTTATTTCCATTCCATCTGCTTGTAACTGCCAGGGACCCCCTGGAATTCCGGAAGGGCCTTACCCTGACGGAAGAAATGGATCTTCTAGCAACTTTTGCCACCATTGTACTTCTCCAGCCTTGGGGGAAGATGAAGAGTTGGAAGACGAATATGATGATGAAGAACCTCTTAAATTCTCCAGTGATTTTTCACGTGTGTCCAGTGGAAAGAAACCTCCATCCCGCAAACAGCGGCACCGCTTTCCAACTAAAGAGGATGCTCGGGAGGGTGGACGTAGAGATCCTAGATCCCCTGGTCGAAATCGGTTGGGCCGGAAACGAATTCAGGCAGATAAGCGCAGAGGCCTGGGATTGTGGGGAGCAGAGGAACTATGTCAGCTTGGACAGGCCATCTTCTGGTGGCTGATTGAATTGCTGGTATTGGTGGGAGAGTATGTAGAAACTTGTGGCCATCTCATCTATGCATGCAGGCAGCTGAAAAGCAGTGATCTGGACCTTTTTCGAGTTTGGGTGGGAGTCTGGGCAGGGCGGCTGGGGAGCTGGGCCCAGGTGATGGTTCAATTTCTAAGCCAGGGATTTTACTATGGGGTAGGACTGTTTATCCGCTTTCTTAGGCTATTGGGTGCTTTGCTGCTTTTGGCTCTGGCCCTCTTTTTGGGCTGTCTACAGTTGGGCTGGCGGTTTCTGGTGGGACTGGGTGACCGATTAGGCTGGAGGGATAAGGCCACCTGGCTCTTTTCTTGGCTGGATTCTCCTGCCTTGCAGCATTGCTTGACAGTGTTAAGAGAGAGCAGGCCATGGCAACAGCTGGTAAGAATAGTTCAGAGGGGCTGGTTGGAGTTGCCTTGGGTAAAACAGAACACTAACAGGCAGGGGAATACACCTGTAGCTAGTGGGCGTTACTGCCAACCTGAAGAGGAAGTGTCTCGACTCTTGACCATGGCTGGGGTTCCTGAGGATGAATTAAACCCTTTCCATGTGCTGGGCGTTGAAGCTACAGCATCAGATACTGAACTGAAGAAGGCCTACAGACAGCTGGCAGTGATGGTGAGTGCCTTTCTGTTCTATTTTCTGTTCCTCTTTTGTTCTCATATTTTATTTTCTATTCCAATTTTAGGGAGAGTGGAAGGCAGAGTAGAAAGTCACTTGGAGCTAAAGGGTAACATATTCTTTTTTTTTTTTGAGACAGAGCCTCAAGCTTTCCCCCTGGGTAGAGTGCTGTGGCATCACAGCTCACAGCAACCTCCAACTCCTGGGCTCAAGGAGTCTCCTGCTTCAGCCTCCCAAGTAGCTGGGACCACAGGCACCCGCCACAATGCCCGGCTGTTTTTTGGTTGCAGCCGTCATTGTTGTTTGGCGGGCTCAGGCTGGATTCAAACCTGCCACCTTAGGTGTATGTGGCTGGTGCCTTAGCCCCTTGAGCCACAGGTGCCGAGCCAACATATTCTTAAGAAAGAGTCACAAAAACTTTATTCCCGGCTCGGCACCGGTAGCTCAACGGCTAGGGCGCTGGCCACGTACACCAGAGCTGGTGGGTTCGAATCCAGCCCGGGCCTGCCAAACAACAATGACAACTACAAAAACTTTATTCCCTCTGCAATGGGATCTGATCTTCCATTTTCAGTTGTCATGAGTTTTTTTTTTTAGACCTGGTATTGGTATTTCAGGCAGTGTTGAACTCACTCAGCTCTGGAATATTTAGGTACAGTCCCTCTAATTTAAGGGTGGGGAGGAGGCCTAGTCAGAGAGTACCTTAGTTGCTCTCTCCTTAACGAAGGAGGGTTTGGGGTATTTTTTGTTGGGTTTTTTTTTTTTGAGACAGAGTTTTACTTTGTTGCCCTCGGTAGAGTGCTGTGGTGTCACAGCTCACAGCAACCTCCAACTCTTGGGCTTAGTCCCAAGTAGCTGGGACTACAGGCGCCCACCATAACACCTGGCTATTTTTTTGTTGTTGCAGTTTGGCTGGGGCTGGGTTTGAACCTGCCACCCTTGGTACATAGGGCCGGCACCCTACCCACTGAGCCACAGGCACTGCCCGGAGAGGGTCTTTTTAAACATGGGGAAACCCAACTATTTCTCCCAGGTAGAAATAGTAGAAAAAAGCAGGCTGTTTTAAGGTCAGCAAATCAGAATAGGAAAGGAAAATGAAACATAAATCATATAGAGGTGTATGTATATGTATGTCATACTTGAAAATACGGTTGCTTTTTATTTATAAGGGTGTATATGTGGGAGTTGTGATGCATTATATGGTTGAGGGAAATGGCTTAATAAAAACATGCAATCAAATTGCTATTAGAAGTAGTTTTTTTTTTTTTTTTTGAGACAGTCTCACTATGTCACCCTCAGCAGAGTGCTGTGACATCACAGGTCACAGCAACCTCCAGCTCTTGCTGAAGCGATTCTCTTGCCTCAGCCTCCCAAGAAGCTGGGACTACAGACACCCACCACAACGCCTGGCTGTTTTTTCGTTGCAGTTGTCATTGTTGTTTAGCTGGCTTGGACTGGGTTTGAACCCGCCAGCCTCGTATATAGCTGGTGCCCTACCCACTGATCTATGGGCGCTGCCAAGAAGTAGATATTAAGTTGCTATTATTAGATATGTGATTGTTACTCCTGTTTCTGTACAGGAAAAACTGTATTATGAAAATAAGTAACGTGTTAATTGCATTGGAGGCCTGTTTTTACTGAGTGTGTGGAGCTGGACTGGCAAAACATCAGTATGCAAATTTCCTCAATGATTGTATGATATCAAAGGGGAATGGGCAACTAAGTTTTCCATTAATGATGAAAGGTACAATAAACCACCAGGCAGGTAACTTACTAAAGGACTAAATAAGTTTGGTGGGAAATGCATGCTCTTAGTGGGTAGCCTGGGATGTTCTCAGAGTAGGTAACAAGTGCTTACCCTTAGATTGTTACTAATAGTAAAATTCTTTTCTGGCTCGGCGCCCATAGCTCAACTGGCTAAGGCGCCAGCCACGTACACCTAAGGTGGTGGGTTCGAATCCCCAGCCCGGACCCGCCAAACAACAATGACGGCTGCAACCAAAAAATAGCCGGGCGTTGTGGCGGGTGCCTGTGGTCCCAGCTACTTGGGAGGCGGAGGCAGGAGACTCGCTTGAGCCCAGGAGTTGGAGGTTGCTGTGAGCTGTAATGCCATGGCACTCTACCCAGGAGGACAGCTTGAGGCTCTGTCTCAAAAAAAAAAACAAAAACAAAAACAAAAAAAAAATTCTTTTCTAACCTTTATATCTTTTAGCAGACGTCCTCTCTTGAGGAATATCAGTCTTAAAAAACTTCTCATTTTTCAGCTTCTCTTGGATTAGAGATGTAATATAGCTAATATGTGACAGTTAGCTCACGTTCAACACTCCCAAATATCTCTCTTTTTTCTGGGCCAGAATGTCTGTGGGCTTCTATAGGACCTCATTATGCCGCAGTGTGAACATGACACACTGTTCGATTACCCTGGGAATGTGGGAACCTGGTATATCAGGGATCAGTTGAGAGACTAGCTTTATCTCTATATTTTTGGGGAATGGGATGGGAACAGTCAGGAAGCTGTGGGAAGAGAGGACATTATTTGTCTTGGCGAGAAGGATCTGAAGTATATAAAAAGCCTTTTGAGAGGGCAGTGCCTGTGGCTCATTGGGTAGGGTGCTGGCCCCATATACTGAGGGTGGCAGGTTCAAACCTGGCCCCAGCCAGACCGCGACAAAAAAAATAGCCAGGCGTTGTAGTGGGCACCTGTAGTCCCAGCTACTCAGGACTGAGGCAAGAGACTCCCCTAAGCCCAGGAGTTGGAGGTTGCTGTGAACTGTGTGATGCCACGGCACTCTACTGAGGGCGATAAAATGAGACTCTGTCTCTACCAAAAAAAAAAAAAAAAAGCAGCCTCTGAGATCATGAGAGGCAGAAAGGCAGATTATTGTAGGATGTTTGGGATATGAGAATTTTCTAGTTAAAAAATAGGAGTTTGAAGAGGTAACAGCTTTGGAACCCTTACTTTATGACTGGTAATAAAATTAAAATGAAAAGGCTTAGTATGTATGTGCCAGGTAGGGAAACCAACTATCCTTATTCACTTGGGATTGAGGGGTTTTCTGAGACATGGGTCTTGTAGTGCTAAAATTGAGACAGTCGTAGGCAAATTAGGATGGTGGATTACTTATCCTAGTGCCAGAGTCTATGTTACATATTTCATATGCATTCCAATTTAATCCTCCCAACAATCCATAATAGATGAACTTTTGAAGGTAATATAGCTAATATGTGACAGTTGTAACTTGAACCCACAACCAGAGCAATTAATCATTAAATTACACTGACTCTTCAAAAGAGTGATGAAAGAGAACCCTTTGATATAAGAATAGAACCAAGATACAGAGAGGGATGGAATGGATTTGTGATGAAATCTGTCTTATTTTGGTAGGTTCATCCTGACAAAAATCATCATCCTCGGGCTGAAGAGGCCTTCAAAGTATTACGGGCAGCTTGGGATATTGTCAGCAATGCTGAAAGGCGGAAGGAATATGAGATGTAAGTTGGAGACGGGAAACTGTGAGTTGAGGTGAATGAAAAATCCTCAATAGGAGAGACCCCTGTACTTGTGGATGGTGTCTCTCTAAGGCAGAGAGAACTGTTAGCCAGAGGCCTGAAGAGGCCCATAGATCTGTCTCCCTTTGTCCTTCCCTTGGTCCATGACTTAAACAGTCTTTCTTCTCTTAGGAAACGAATGGCAGAGAATGAGCTAAGCCGATCAGTGAATGAGTTTCTGTCCAAGTTACAAGATGACCTTAAGGAAGCAATGAATACTATGATGTGTAGCCGATGCCAAGGAAAGCATAGGTATGAAATAAGAGGACAAAGATGGGACAGCCACAGCTCAGGGATTGGGTAACTACAGACTTTCCTTGTAAGTACTGGTAATTGTGAGATATGATGAGTAAAAAGATGCTGAGGTTTCTACCTTTGGCATATTGTCAAGAGATAAAGGATTTGAATTAGCAGTTTAAAAAAAATAGCTTTAAGATAGAAGGTTAGGGCCAGGCGCGGTAGCTCATGCCTATAATCCTAGCACTCTGGGATGCCAAGGTGGGTGGACTGCCTGAGCTCAAGAGTTCAAGACCAGCCTCAGCAAGAGCAAGACCTACCCTCTCTAAAAATAGCCAGGCGTTGCAGTGGGTACTTGTAGTCCCAGCTACTCAGTCCCAGGTTGAGGCAAGAGGATCTCTCTTTTTTTGGGGGGGGGGGACAGAGCCTCAAGCTGTTGCCCTGGGTAGAGTGTGGTGGCATCACAGCTCACAGCAACCTCCAACTCCTGGGCTCAAGC